GTTGATGGGTCATGTGTATGCTAGGGGGCGCTATAGAGTTCACTTTTCATATACTTTATAGTGTATTATATTCAGGCCGTGATCATGCCTTAGTGATTAAAATTTCAGCACGTTCGGACAAAACCTGTTTCTGTAATAAAGTTGTTTACTATTTTTGCGCCCCTACTGGCCAACCGTGAAAAATGTATCATGTCCGTAATAGACTTTTTTGCTTGTCATCATGCATAGAATTTAATCTCCGAATTTGGTACTAATCCGATAATGTTGATGTTTCATGTATATGCTAGGGGGCGCTATAGAGCTCACTTTTCATATGTTTTATAGTTTATTATATTCAGGCCGTGATCAGGCATTAATGATTTAAATTTCAGCACGATCGGACTAAGCCTGTGGGTGTAATAATTTTTTAACTATTTTTTGGTGGAGTCTTTGCGCCCCTGCTGGCCAATGGTGGAAAATGCATCATGTCCATAATAAACTTTTTTGCTTGTCATCATGCATAGAATTTAATCCCCGAATTTGGTACTAATCCGATAATGTTGACATTTCACGTCTATGCTAGGGGGCGCTATAGAGTTCACTTTTATTAAATTTCATATTTCATTGCATTCAGACCTGGATCACGCCATTGTGTTGTGAATTTGAGTTGTCTAGGACAATGCCTGTGGCCGTGACAGGTCACCGAAAAAACTGGAAATGAAAGCATTTTTCGGCGGCGTGCTACGGGCGAACCGTAAGGAGTATCAATAAAAAAATTTATGATTTTTGTGAGTTTATGTCTCTAGATGTGACATGTGAAATTTGAGCTCATTTGGACCAAACCCTGGGGACTTGAATCTTTTTGTAGACACCCAAGTCAAAACGGCGGCGAATTTTTGATCCAATATGGCTGACTTCCTGTTGGTCATAGGGGTGCACAATGATTGACTTTTTTGTTTCTCCTTGAGTTCTATCACTGCCCCGAATTTCGTGAGCCTACGCCAAAATATATGTCTGAGCCTCCAATTCATTTTCAAAATTTGACATTTCAAGGGGGCGCTGTTGAGTGGGGGGGCTTTGGGCATTGTCACGATGCCCATTTTATCAAATTTTTCACCGGACCGGTCGATCTGATACCCGGTTTGGGGACTTTTCGTCGATGTTCAGGGGGTCAAAATCGCGATCGTTTGCAAGGAAAAATAATAATAAACAAACGTAAGAAACCAGCGAAGAACAATACCCCTCGCCTCTAACGTTGTTAGTGGCGTGGGCCAAAAATCCTACCCACTTTCTTCACTTTGAAGCAGTTTTCTGTAAAGTGCCAGTGGAAGTGGGATTAAAGAAGGGCTTCCCAAACTCTGGGTGTGAGTCCAAAAAATGGGAGCAGAGTGGTTAAGTGTAGTGCGGTTTTCTTGGCTTATTGTATGTCTAAATAAACATTAAAGGGACAGTCTGGAATTTTGGACATAGGACCTCATTTCCTAGTGAGCCACAGTGTTTGAGATGTGTGGAGACACTTTTTAAATATTCTATCCAGTCCTTGTATTTGGAGCGGTCAGCGGTGCTAGGCTAGTGCATGTCGGCCGTAGTTATCCTGCCATTAAAAAAAGTCTTACTCACTCCACAGAGCACCCGAAGCAAATCTATAATCACAACCCACTATCGATGTGAATGTCTGTGTTGATAGAATAATGTTTGAAATAAAACTATCCTTGCATCACATGAATTGTCACATGTTGAGGGACTATTTTCTCAGCAGCAGTAGAATTTTACTTTGCCGGTAAGATCGGTGCTAGGCAGTGTTGGAAAAGTTAATTTTCTACATGAACTATTTCAAAGTTCAGTTCACAAATGTCAAAATAAACTAGTTTGTTCTTAGTTCATCATTGTTTATAGTTAAGAGTTTGTTCATAGTTTCAAAAATGAACTAGTTCAGTAGTTTTTTTTTTCAATATGTTGTAGGCCAAAATCATAAATATATATTATGAATATATGTATTATATATAGGCTGTGTAATATCGTAATGAATGCCAGAAACACAGTCATTTTGGCCACTATTGGATGAACTATATCAGAGCACAACACACAGCCAAGCGCAAACTTTACGCAGCAGCACAACCTGATCCACCACTCACAACAACAACGTCAGCAAACCTTCAATAAGAGGCTACAGTCACAACACAAACAGCCGTTCCTACAGCAAACAGCAGAACAAGCAGCGCTGTTGCACCCTCAGATTTGCCCCAAACTAACGAAAGCAAGCCTCTTACCTTCTCCAGAGGACGGAAGCACAGTGTTTCCTCTATCCACTGTCCCACTGGTTCTGTCTCCAAAAGTGGATTGTTTCATATGATGAAATGAAACGGGTCCTTGTACCAGACAGGACAGCAGCTCTATCTGCAGGAGACAGGCGCAAAAGAGAGCCAGTGTTTTGTCTTGTTTCGATGACGCATGTGGCAATGCGACAGTGGTAGCTGTTGCCAGATTGAATGTTTTTCCTCTAAATAGTGAGGACTCTTAACAGTGTGTTTAGCTGGATTTTCGCCTGGAACACTAAAGAACTCTGGTACCCTATTGAACAATGTTAAATAAAAGCACATGCCGTTCACTGACACCAGAATGAACGCTTTCAGTTTGTTTGTCAGACTGTAATACAATACGTTCAGTTCACATTCGCCCAAAATATGTACGCGTTCAGGTACAAAACTGGTGCTTGGTGATATCAGTCCGCTGTTACCAAGCTTTCGATCAGGAAGTAAAACTCACTGCTGCTCAAACATAAATCCTTCAAATGCAAGGTTGGTTTAACTTCTAAAATTATTCTATCGACAGTCTGGCATAATAATTGCACCACAAACTCTTACTGCAACATGATTGGCTGTTGAGCTGGCTCTCTTTCTATAAGTCTATGGGGAAAATAAACAGAAATATTTGTCCCCTCTCACTTTTGAGATTTTTAAGGACAACTGTTAAGAACACCAACTCATAAAACAATACAATCAAACAACAATCCTTGAAGATGATTTCAGGGCACTAATGATGACTGCATGTTGCAGGTGTATCCAGTATTATGGCGACCTCCCAGTGATACTGATGCCTGCACAGACTACGCTGGATCATCACGTTTTCATCTTGTGTTTTTTGAATAAACATCTCTGTCTGACTGCATTGTCTCTTGTGTATGTGGCAGCTTTGTGGCAGCATATTTCTTTTGTTTGAAAAGGAGTGAAGATTGTTGGCTGTGTCACAACATTATTCAAGTTTATGCATTTCAGTGGGGAGGGGACGAGATCTCTTAAAGGTTGTATAGAGGATTTTCCAAGGAACGAGAAATCCAGCGACTGTTTGTCCTTTTTCAAATGTTGCGCATGCGTGAAACCACCCCCCCTCCCCTACAGCTCCCTACGTAGAAACGCCTTCTCCCGCCTCCTCTTTACGCCAGAAACAGGTTTGTTTACAGCCGGTGCTGCACATGACTTGTAAACAACTAACTACAGTGTTGGTTAGGCAAGGTGGAGAAGTGAGGAGCGGGGGGAGCGGGTGCGCGGACATTTCGTTCACGGACGAGAAGTGAGGAGCAGGGAGAAGAGCGGAGCAGGGAGAGGAGAGAGGAGAGAGGAGAGGGGAGCGGTGCGCGGAGATTCCGTGCCCGGAGAACTGAGGAGCAGGGGGAAGAGCGGAACGGGCAGCGGGGACAGGAGTAGGAAAGGGGAGCAGAGAAGGTTGCGCGGAGATTCCGTGCGAATGAACTAGCTACAACACGCAGCAGCAAGCGGACTCTTTCTTTGCCTTGAAAATTACGTTTTCAGACATAGGATATCGCTTTCGTGTCCTGAAAAACGTTTGTCTAGCTCTTGGAAATAAAGTACGTTTTCATAATAAGCAGAAGTGACCTGTCCAGGAGTAATTTGGCGACCAATGCGTCTGCTTCAGTTGCGCCATCGCTGGAATGAATCTACAAGAATCACCTTAGTTTGGCTTCGCTGCTTTTCCCCTTGTCTTCTTCTTTCAGCGACCTCAAAAACGGACTTTCTTTTGCGGCTAACTGCTCCTGGATTCTTGTCGCCATTGCAACAAACTTTGTGCTAACTGCGAGGAAGATATAGGTCAAAAAAAGCCGCTAAGAACTGTTGCGTTGGTGGAGTAAACAGCGTCTGTGCGGCTTGCGTCTGCGTGACAGGCGTACGTAAACCACGTACCGGCGGCGCGCAGGCAAGTCAGTTACGCTAGAAACTTAGGGAGATTGATTGACAGCCTGTCAGCTAACAGATAACGAGGCAGTGTCGTTATCTATTGGCAAATGTTTAGCTGGCCCCACCACGTCCAGAGTTGATGAATTTTTATTCTCTTTTTTTTGGTCATCATAATTACAAGGCTACTGCACCTCTATAATGCTATCATTGACAACTTGAAACAAAAACAAAACAAAAAAAATCCTCCATACAACCTTTAACATGAAATCTGAAAGCCTAAATGCATTTAGGCTATTAAGTGATCTAAATTTGGTCATTTGTATAACTTAATATCAATACACAGAAATACAGTCACAACACAATATTTAAGAGACTAAACTAAAAAAAAAAAATCATGTGAACAAAACTGGATTGAAGAGATTATTTCATTATATAGTAGCAGTTGTTGTCATGGACCCTATCTAATGTCTCATCCCACCCCCTACAATCCAGTGATTGGGTTCCCTCATGTTGAAAATAACCCCGGCACATGTCCCCCATGTGTTTGCTCAGATGAGGCAGATTTATGAAGTTTATGATTTAAGTTTGATATTTCATAAGAAAATTTAACTGAGTGAAAGATTTGCTCTTGACGCACGTTTGGGAATAAGAGATAATTGTGCAGTTTAAACTAAACCATTCATAATCTTCTGCATTGAACCGGATAAGCATAGGCATGCAGCCATTTCTGGTAAACAGGATCTGTGTGAAGGGCCGCCCTCAGGTGAGGACACCTGAGGCAACAGGAGTGGCTCTGGTTTTAAGCGCTCTGCTCTGCGCACTGCTCAG